TGCCTTTCAGCAAGATCACCTGTACCAACTATAGATGCGCAGACACACACAAATACAATGACGGGCCTCCCTGGTGTTTTCAAGAAAGAAAAAATATAAAGAAATGCGTTATGACGGAGTGAAGAAATTCACCTAAGGGAATTCACATGCATAGTTTTTGTCTGGTAAGTAGAAACAAAGCATGCTCGCAATTTTTTCAGGAATAGCAGTTTGTATTTCAATGAATGTGACAACTGGTTGATTCATTTGAGTCTTTCCAAGACATAATTACATTTAGTGCCAATGGTAATGTAATCTGTAGCTTGTTGCAATAAGCTTGTTATTTTTCACACTTCTAAATTAACAATGGCACCTAGATGCAGCATTAAAAAAATAAAAGGCAGAAGGTAGCTCTGTTGGAGCCACGTCAGTAACTTATATTCTGCAAGTGTCTTGCTTGCAAATGTATTGAAAATCTTGAGTAGCATCTTCCATTTTGTTATGTATTATGTCAAGTAACTAATACGAGATAGCCCACCACAGGCTCAAGGGACTCGTAAACTATCTGCACAGAGTCCCTTGAGCTAGCCGTGGGCTATCTTACAGTTTACTGATGTAGTAATGGTGCATGCTAGCAATGATTTTTAGAATTTGTCATATTCATTAGGCACTTGTTTTTATTTCATGCAATTCAGAACACTGGGTTGCACTCCTCAAAGATTAGCTCCAGAAGCATGGCAACCAGAATAATAGGCACTTATATTGCACTTTTGTCTGAAGATGTATCTCGCACTGTGCTTCAACATTAAGTGTGGGTGAAGCAGTTATCAGCATAATTAAAGACTGAATGCAATGAACCCGAGTTCCCTTGTTAAGCTATACTTAATGCAGGAACTCAGCAACGGAAGAAAATTTATTGCGATCACATAAAGAGCACACAATGAATTTGAACAAAAGTAAGAACCTTGCTAACACGTGCTGTGAACGGGTAAACTAATCGTGGCTGCCGCACATGATTCTGCTCAGCAAACCAATCAGCTAAGCTGAGGAGTGCTCAGGCAGCAACGTTTTTCATGGGTCGCTCAAACTACAAGTGGCTGCTTACAATCTTGCGCACATGCAGCACACTGGCGTCGCTGTCCGATTTCCCCTTGCAGTTCTCTGGCCGATAGGGTGGAACGATGGTTACCTGGTTCATAACAATTATATTCTTTCCCTGCCACGTGACGTCGTCGATCCTGTTGAAAGAAAGGAGTATGCAAGTTGGTTTTCACACTTAACAGTGACATTACAAGTCAAGGTCTTGCCAGATCTGTGGTGCATTTACACACCAAAGGCAATCGTTGCACCCCACAACAATATACAACGCTTAGACCTATTTCTGCAGGGGCACTTCTAATTTAAAGTTGACTGATTATAGGAGTGACTTACTGAACCCAAGAACTGATGTCATAGTGAATGCCTCCCAAATTAGTTCCGACCACCTCAGTTTCATTATCATGGACTAAAAACGTGGGACAGAAGAATATTTGCATTAGGCAGTCAATAACATTAACTGCAGAACAGATTCAACATCCAACACAATTAAGGGGCCATGAAGCACTCGAACGACACAATATCAGAGTTCATTGCGCCACAAACTGATTGCTGCGAAATGTTTTCGAATCAGTCAAGAAGGAAAGGAGTGACAGGGTTTGTCACGTGTTTTAAGTGCTTGCTCTCTTCTCTCATCTTGACGAGCACACTGGAAGCTAAGCAGGGAGCAATGGCACAGAGAAAGAGAATACACCAGCGTGCATTATAATTTTCAGCGTGCATAACGAAGCGCGCTTGCTCGCTCCTGATGTTACTTTTGTGTGCCAATGTCATTCACAGTGTTATATTAGCACACTATAGAGTGCTGCTTCGGCACAAGGGTGCACCTCTGATCCAAATATCGCACTTTATTATGTTGGCTGTTAGCCAACAGCATGCCACTCGGTGTTCAACGTGAAACGGTAGGTTCTGGATCCTCCAAGGCGAGTGAGAATGAACATCAGTAAATTTGTCATCATTTTGTTTTTTTACTTTCATTTGTATTTTATATTTGGTGTTCATCCCTAATTTAATGTCCTAGTGAGAAACCTTGAGTATCAATAAAATAATGAATAAAATAATGAAAAAACTTTTTTAAAAAAGGCACACGAGAAAACAGCAACTTCACTCTCTGTCTGAAGGCTGTTCTTGGCGCATATGATTTGCCCGAGATGTTCATAGCAGTGTCTGTTTAAGTGTTATCACCAATCCCAAGTGGTTATTTATGAGCCATTTAAATCGGTGTAAACCTTCAAAGTGTTTAACAATTCACCCAAGCTTCTTGGCTGTACTTAAACATACAGTGATGAGTTTTTGCCCAAGAAAGCACTGCCAAGGACACAAATTCAAGCTCCATGCTTACGTATATCTAATGCAAACATAGCAAAAAGTGCAATGTATTGAAGATACATCATGTCTGACCTGACAGAAAAGTAAAAAAAAAAACACTCACGTTTTTCGTATGGCCAGAAAAAGGCGAATGCCGTCGTGGGACACACCAGCTGAAATGGCAGCGGCCAAGCGCTGTCGCTCATCTATGTTCTGTTTTGCCCTCGTGTTGAGCTGCATCAGATTAATAATTAGAATTGTTGGGGTTTTCCATCCTTAAAACCACGATACAATCATGAAAGACGCCACAGTGCAGAGCTGTGGAAATTCCAACCAGCAGGTGTTAACATACACCTAAACTTGGGCGCACAGACATCTAGAATTTCGCCACCATCGAAATGCGCCAGTGAATAATACTGCACAGGTTGAACGTGCACCACATCGTAACGCCAAAGAATGCAGCTAGCACTAGAGCGTTTCTGAAGTTCAAACGTTTTCCTATCAGCTTTTTGCACACAAAAAAGTGGTGGTTCTCGAAGGGACTCCTTCAAATTCGACATAAGCCCTACAACAATATCCACCATCACAACAGCTGGCCAAGACCAATCAATCTTCGCCTTTTAGAAATAAACAAGCAACAGAATGATATAAGCGATATTTCTGGAGGTTTCTTGCAGAGGTATAAAATGAAATAAGAAAGAATAAAGTATATACGTATATTGCAACCCCCAGTGGTACCACGAATACGTTTTTTTTAATTGTGGGTGTCTCCATTTTAACGTGAAGCACACAGTTTGAAGTCGTCAGTCCGAGGCGAAGTCTCTTTCAATAATAAAAGCTGAAGTACATGCTGGTCTTACCATAATGCAAACACAATCTCAGAGCAAGGACTAAGGTGCGATGAGCCACCATGTGAACAAGCTGAAAAGCCGGGATTAGATGACCCAATGTGTAAGTAAAATATAAAAATCAGACAGCAGTAGCTATACTACACTGTTTAAAAGATGTCGATGCGACCAGGGCACAAGTTCTGCTGTAAGGAAAGTTGAGGCCGCTGCAAGAAATGCTGAAACTGAAGAGTACTTTATCCAAGCAAACACATGGAACATCCTTTTTCGATGACTATGAATTAGGGATGTTTACGGACTATGGATGTTACGGAGTACGCACCTTTTCTGTGTTCAAGGGCTGCGGCGGTGTAAGCTGACTGGAGCCGGCTTCCTTCTTTACGGTCAACTCCGAGACGAAGTTGAGGTTGACCATGCGTATGTCGCTGACATTGGCTTTGCCGCTAGAACTGGCACATTCTGAGACAGGTGTGTCAAGGAACAGCACATGAAGAGTGTCGCAACATGAAGGCGCATGACGCGCTGACATTAAGGCATTACGTCCAATGTAACGTTATGCTTCTTTTATTTTTTGTTTGTTTACTTCAACTTCGCGGGGCGCAGCTTACACGGGCTTCGCATGTCACATGATTATGAGGCATGCAGTATAGCGAGGAAAACCGGATTAACTTATTCAGTTGAGAGTCAGCGCTTGCTTGTGTCTCTTCTCTTCGTCCCGTGAGTTTGTGCGCTGTTTCTGCCCATTATTAACTTATACCACTTTTTGGACGCACCCAAATCGAGGTTAACGAGCGTTCACGCATTTCGCCCCTATCTAATGCCAATCGAACCCTCGACATCCAAGTCAAGCAACGCCAACGGGACACTGAAGAAGCTGAAGCAGTGGGTAAACGCTGAGAAGGCATTAAACATATCATCTGAAAACATAATATCGCATTTCTATAATTAAGAACCGATATTCCAAAGATGCCGGAGGCTGTGACAGCAAATAACGCATAAAAAAAGGGCCACTTGGTGAACGCGAACGGTGCCAAAACACTCAGCCGCCTAGATTATCGTAACGCAAGTGCATGTCGGCGCCCTTGGCAACGCGTCAGATGATAGCATCGCTGAGGCCGGTAACAAGTTGCTGCGACCTAGCATCGACTCAGCCGTCCTCCCGAGTCAAAAAATGTACACGGTAAAACGAGCCTACTTCACTGACTACGCCTACTCAATAAACTCTGAAACAGTGAAGAATGCTGAGTGCCGCAACACTAGCAGCACACTAGCAAACCCGAGGCGAGTCTTGCGAAGCACGTTTCCACTTTCTTTTTACCGCAGGCACCGACCGAAGCTGTACAACGAGCAGCACGATTGCCGAAAGGATACTTAGCATGAGAGCCTTGGTCTGCTGGTCGAAGGCCAACACTTCTCCCTCGATAACCTGGTCATAGCAAGTTTTACAACAAACAACACTTCCAAGGGAAAAACATTCTGGCCCATCCGCCATAGCTTTCATTTTCGGGAATGGACGATCGGCATAGTTGTTACGTTGTTACCGAAACCACTGACATCGGCTAAACACAGCGCTCACAGCGCTTCATTGGTCAAAGACATAAACAACGCCATCAGTAATTGCACTTCAAGTAAAAGACTGCATAATTGTTATAATTTTTACGCAAAGATCTAAGTTGTTGAAGGAGATTAAAGTTTGCAGCACGGCGTTTTAAGCAGCATACGCGGTCCGGCCAATGCGGTGCTGACCGAACCAATCCGATCCAAAAGCGTCTTTTGGATTTGCATCATTCTTGCGGAAGGATTTTGGAGAGTCATTGCTAGCTCGTGAATCGCTGTTTGCGTTCCTCAATCGTGCTGTACAACCAAAAGTCGGCAAGATGAGTATTATGTCCTACAACGGAGGCGTCGTGGTCGCCATGAAGGGCAAAGAATGCGTCGCCATCGCAGCCGACCGGCGCCTGGGTGCGCGCGGCCACACCATTGCGCTGGACTTCGAACGCATCTTCGAGATGGGCCCGAAGCTCTACTGCGGCCTGCCGGGCCTTGCCACGGACACGCAGACGGTGGCACAGAGGCTCAAGTTCCGCATAAACCTGTACGAGTTGCGCGAGGGTCGCTCTATAACTCCCAAGACGCTCGGCTCGGTCATCTCCAACCTGCTGTATGAGCGCCGCTTCGGTCCGTACTTCGTGCAGCCCATAGTGGCCGGCTTGGACCCCGTGACAAATGAGCCCTACATCTGCGTGATGGACCTGATCGGCTGCATCGACGAGCCGACCGACTTCGTGGTCTCGGGTACGTGCGAGGAGCAGTGCTACGGCATGTGCGAGACGCTCTGGGAACCCGACATGGGGCCTGACGAACTGTTCGAGGCGACCGCGCAGGCACTCATGAATGCCTTCGACAGAGACTCCGCCTCGGGTTGGGGTGGCGTTGTGCACATCATCGAGAAGGATAAGGTCACCACCAAGTACCTCAAGACCAGGATGGACTGAAAAGAACATTGGTGTCTGCGCGTCAGAAACCTGTAACTCCATCCATTGTGTAGGGAATAAATGCACGCCCTTTTCTTCTTTTTTTTCTATACTCCTTGGCTGCGTTTTTATCCTTAATTCGGTCGTGTAATAAGTTCGAGCTAATATTCAGAAGCTGCAACTCGTTCGGAGCCAAGAAAGCATTTATGATGTGATGAGAGAAAGAGAGGCAATCTTTATTATATTATTTCAAAGGGCTCTTAGAAGGCGGTGGGAATTATCCTTCTCGTGTCTCGCAAACCCGGTAAGGAATTTGTACGAGTGCAGTTTTTTCATCATTTGCAGTTGACCCATGTATAATGAACATGCAAGCCAAACCACTGCGTTGCTAGAAAAAGTGAAAAACTTGGAAATTTATGCCAACGTAAATTTTTAATCAGGATCTGCTAAGTTATCACTTCAGATTATTGGTTCATATCATTCACTTACTAAACAAACCCTTTGCACACTATGTTACAGTACGCTGAGTTCATCCACGTTAGCAACTTATTAATGATATACACAACCAATTCGGTTGCCCTTGTTCTACACTATGCTTTATACATCAACTGCAATGCTGTGGAGGCTAGTGAGACTTCTTGTAAGTTGGCAGTTCGCCACGAAAAATAATTGTGTTCCTACCACCAATAACAGGATTTTTTGTTTTCATTATTATGATGAGAAGTAATTGAAGGTGTTTTGTGCCTTACAAACAAAAACGCCTTTAAGCGTCTGTTATTATACAGCTGGTTAGCTTAGTTTACACGTGACGTCACACACAGGCTCTCTGTGCTGGTTACATCGTAATGGTGGCCACCTGGGTCGCCTGGGTTGCCAATGCTTCTACAGCATTGCACTTCATGTGTGAAATGTACTTTAGCTAACACTACTCTCCAAGTGACCACTCGCTGGCTGGATTTTCATTTTCATGACATCACAATTGAGCAGCTTAGATGAAATGCTTGAGCATTCTGTTTTGGCTAGTGTGCACTTGCCTGCTGCACTGCAAAGGTGAAAAAAGGCCGCTGTTTTATTATGCAAACAGGAAGTGACAAGTATCTGCAATAACTCCACGAGGCATTGTTTTTATCAAAATCTTCAATTCAGCCCAATATTTTTCGCAAAATTTATAACTGCCCTTGCAGCGAGAGGTACAGTGATCGAAACCCTGCACATAGGGATCTTATGGGCGACAGAAAAAGAGTGTATTTACAACATTTGCGCGAGCACAGTGACTGGGCATGACAACAAGCAATACTGCTTGTTTCTTAGTAACCTGGTGCATGCACCATGGGAGATCAGCCATGGACCGGGTAGCATCCTATTTTAGAGATAATATCGCTCTACAATTGAAATTTGTTTAGAAATAGTTTAAAAAGTAACCCATTGGTGCAGTGAAGGCTTAAAGACTACTAACAAGTCAATAAGGTAGAAAATAAAGTGGCCTTATAAACTTGACATTCAGTTGTTTTTGTCTCCCATAAGAAATTGGATACAGCTTGGAAAACGTTCCTGCGGCGTTGAAACATATTTCGGTAGTGCCAAAGAGAGAACCACCACAACGGATAAATTCAAGCTGGCGACAGGAACTAACTGAGCCATCCTCCTCTTGTTAGTCCATTAGATAAGCAGCACAGAATAATAGTCCAGAAAAAAAAATCTTAGGTACTGCCTGCACCACAATGGCCGCTTTTGTTTTCCATTGTGACATGTAGAGACAGTGGTTGTAAAATAGGTTATCAATGTTTCAGATATTAGACGTAACCATACCTGGCTGTCACATGCTTAACGGTGGGACAAGAACTGGTTTTATGTGAAATGACGTCATTTGGCCCAACGTGTTAATAAATTCAACATTTGGTTCGAGATAGTAAGTCAGAAAATGTAGTATTTTCTCCAATAGTGAAAACGCTGCCAAGCAATGTGGAACTATAACTTTTTTATTGACTTAAATGCATTCAAGGTATCAACAGCGCATTCTTGCCTGAACAAAGTTCACATAGGTTCTTGAAGTGTGATCAAAAGAAGTAAATTTTGGAATTTCGTTCATCCGTACTGGCCTTCGCTGTTTTAGAAAGTCTTCATACATTGCTTCAATTCAAAAGCTAGGGTGCTGTCATTTGCCCCAACTACTCCTGTGTGTAGTTTTCAAAAACACTAAGCATAAAGGCTTTGGCACGCTCAAACTTCTCCAATTTATCTTGTTCATCCTACAGAATAGCATCCCATAATTTCAATAAACAGTCAAGGCTTTCTTCACTCTTCTGAAGAATTTTATGCAAGTTGTCGCCCACTTCTTCAACTGTTCTGTGCATCGCAGTGCCAAGACCTGTAATAAAAAATTATATGCAGATATTTCATACATCCTGCATGACATTTAAGTTCATTGAGCATGCTTTTCTGCTCTAAAACTTGCCCAGTGTTCATACATGCAATAGTAGTGTTTACAAAGAAACGGGTAGGAAAGAATAATGTGAAACATTTGCAAGGAGAGGAATTATAAGCTGCTGCAGTAGCAGCCCGATCTGATTCCCCATTCTGGCAACGTGTACCAGCAAACATTGTTACACCAAACTTTGTCTTTACCTGAACCAAGTCTGAAAAGAAAAAGAGTTTAGGAAAAGAACATGAATGTATTATGTAAAGCAGGTAGGAAAAGAGGTCAACATGAATTTCTGCAAAATGAGAACATCTCACTTGAGATTCCAAGTGAAGCTTCACATTTGCCGTCTGTGTGTGTCGCATGAATAGTTTTCAAAAGCTAAGTGCTAATTCCATGAAAATATGCAGAGTTATGTACTAAACTTGTGTTGTAAATAGTTGTCTTTGGCTAAGTTGATACATGACACTACGACATTATGCCACGATGATATGTAGTGGAGCAATGTATTGTGTCTTCAGCACGGTTGGTCATTTTTGGCTGTAGATATTCGGTTGTCCACTCCACACATTGGTTTAGAACTGCTTTATTTTCCTTTTCTTTTCTATTTATTCCCTTACCTAATTCCCTGTGACACTGTTGCCTTGTGGACAAAAGAAAATCCTGTCCTCTTCCTAACTTGAACCACATTGTCCCATACGAATGAATAGACTATCCAGCCACTACTAGTTTAAAAGTAAAACTGGGCCGATGTTTTGAGTTCCCTCCCAAATGATTCGCTGCCTGAAGAGACCAAATGGGTCTCGATATGCAGAGCCAGTTATTAATTTCAATATTAAAAAATATAGTCTAAACGTGGCTGGAAAGTCTTTTTATTCATACAATTCTACCCAGCCAGATAGATCTGCTCACTTTTTCCAGATATGCTTACTTTTTCCAATGTATGGTTCCTGCATTCTCGAAACTGCACCACCCTCCAAACTTAACAACATAAATACAAACATAAATACAAATACAAATAACAACACAACTACAATGCTAGCGTGCTAACTTGCTAGAAATTGGTGATGTGATACACTTATCACAAAAGGAAGTATTTAACTAAGACGCGAAATAGTGAGCACATGTGTCATCAATGCAATTTAGCCCAGAGCGAGTCCTTCAAATATGTTATCCCTGCTTCACATGTACACATACTTTGCTGTCTGCTGTCAGTGTTGACTCAGCTACTCGCCATCTTTCGAGTACTTCTTCAAGTTATCAAGGAGCATGCTTTTGAGGGTGTCGATCCTTTGCTTTTGCTGCTCGTTGCGTCGCAAGAGATCATCACGACGCGCTGACACTCGAAGAGCGAGGTTTTCGCAATTCTGGGAAACCTTGCCCGTGTCTTCAGCAATCTTCTCGGCCAGACGATGCACTCTTGCACCAAGGCCTGCGTAGAAAAATGGAGGCGTTTGCGAATGTCACGTGATCCTTCGATCGTCCAACTTATTTAACACAGTAACATTGAACAACATGGAGCGAGTGGGAACAGATATACAGATAGAAGTTATTCACTTTGTATTTGTGATCACGCTCAGTATAAATGCTCCTCGGTAGTAATTTTTTAATGTATGTACTAAGTCGAGGTGTTCAGGCCCCATGCATGCTCAGCTCTAGATATCAGACTTATTGTACACAGACCCACCCCCAACCCTCCCCTGGAAATATCGCATCCACACACGCGCTCAGTCTAGTGGTTATGGTATTCAACTATTGACCCGCAGGTCGCGGGATCGAATCCCGGCCACAGCAACCCCATTTTCAGTGAAGAGCGAAAATGTTCGAAGTCCGCATACTTACACCCGAACCGCTCCCTCACTTGCCTCTCCTTCAATGCAGCACAAACGCGTTTCAAACGAGCTGCTTTGAAGCGGTGCAAAGGTCAAGTAAAGGCGCGTTTCTGAATACGTAGGTTACCTTTTTGAGTTTATTTCTATTTTGTGTTGCTCTGTTGTGAACACAGATGCAATATAGTGATGTTTCCTGCTTCTGCCCAATGTAAAAGGTGTGACACCTATAGCGTTCTTCGCTTTCACTCTCACACCTTCCACCAAGTTCAATTGTATTGATGAGAAATAAATAAATGATATTATTATTATTTGCACCATGGCTCCCAGTCGGGATGCATGCTTGCTATGCTCCTGCCCGTTTTTCGGTAAGGAGCAGGTTTTCAGCTGTGAAAGTTGCTCTAAACGTGTTCATGCTAAGTATGTAACCTGGCTTGATGAAGAGCTGCAGCTTCTGAAGTCTGGATAGCGCTCATTTCACTTCAATTTATGTGATCTGAGCCGTACTTCCGGTAAGCCTAACGAAGACGACTCGGCGGTGTGCAGCGACGAGCATTGTAGCTCTCAAACCGGTTCTCTCTCCACGTGTGCCCCTCTGGGTGGGGATCTCGCCGGGCTGCGCCGTCTCCTCCTAGACGCGTTGGAGGGTATCTCGTTCCTCAGGGACGAGATGTCCCAACTACGCGAAGAAAACGAGCGCCTCCGTAAGGATCATTCCCATGGTGTTGAACAACAAGCCCGCATGGTCGCCTCCCTTCGTGCAGAGGTCCGCTTCCTGCGTGAGGAGCTGACGGGCCGCACGGCCGCCGTGGCAGTGACGGCACCTGTGATTCCCCCAGAGCATGTGGATGTTGACCTATCTGTGACCTCCAAGAAACCTGCGTGCTCTGCACAACCTCTCTCCAAAATTCTTTCATCCTCAAAATCGCCGCAAGCTGATGCAGACACGTCCGAGCGTGTCAGTGTGATGCCAGCGACAGCCTCTTCTGCAGCGGTTACTGAGGGTGAGAGAAAGAAGAAACCCGCCTAGTTTGGAGCTATGAAAACATCAACTATATCAGTAGCTCAACGGCCACAACGGCCAAAGGCCATTTTTGTTACGAAGCTGAGCCCAGACACCACTGCTGCTGACATCAAAAAACATTTTGCTTCACTGGATTTGTCTACCATCTCCTGCCGGTGACTTGAAACAAAATTCAAGTCATATTCTTCATTCTACATCAAAGTTGACGAGCAAACACTACAACGCCTGAATGACCCTTCGATGTGGCCCTTCGGATGCCTCTTCAAGCCATTTCGTGGGGAGCTGCGCGATGACATGCTTCATCCCTCTGAGATTGTTACTGGAATTGAAAGTGGCGTGTAACGTAGACATCTTTTACCAAAATGCTCGGGGTCTGTGTACCAAGACACTCGAGTTTTTCTCTAATGTTCTTTCGTCTTCTTTTTCTATTTTGCTATTTATGAAACCTGGCTAGACACTGAAATTCCCTCATCTGACCTTTTTCCCCCGACCTACACCACCTTCCACAGAGACCGAGATTTTAGTGAAACCAAATTGAAAAAGGTGGCATAATGATTGCCATTGACAATTACACGAAATCCGTTAGATGGAAAGACCTAGAATCTATCGAAGAAGCGATCTGGCTTGAAATCAACCTTGAGCTCCTTTAAAATTGTTGATTGGATGTTTTCATTTACCGCCCAGCATTCCCCCTGCCTCGTTTCATGATATTATGTCTTCTATAGAACTTGTGATATCTTCTCGTAGTGGGCACAGAATTATTGTTCTTGGGGATTTCAATGCACGTGGAATTGACTGGAGCATGCTCACCTTTTCTCATTACAATCATTTTATAGATAATTAATCCCCTACTGCAACATAAATTAGTCGTTAATTCCAGTGGCAATGTCTCAGACCTGTGTCTGTCCAACGATCAGCCCCTTGAAGTTTCCCGCTCCAACATCTCCCTTGTACGTCCCGACGAATTCCACCCACCACTTAACGTAAGATTATCTGCATCAGCCGAAACAATGAGCTACAGCAGTTAGGTAAACAAATCTCCAAGAGAGGTGATTACACGGGCCTGTATCATTACTTGTCCACTGTTGAGTGATCACAGGTTACTGACAAACCGAATGTTGATGATCAGGTTGATCGGTTTACGGAGCTTGTACTGAAAAAGCATGCGTAATTTTATTGCCCAATATACACCTAAACAATGTAAATATCCCCACTGGTTCTCATCTGAAATTATCAGTGCACTGAAGCATAAAGATCGCGAACACAGAAAATCTAAATGTTCTCCATCCAGGGAGTGGAAGGAAGAGTTCAGCTTTTTTAGAACTCTCTCTAAACGCCTATATAAGCGCGATCATGGTTCGTATATTGACTTCTTAGAAAAAAGCGCCTCTGACAGGCCAGTTGAGTTTTGGAAGTATGTGCGTAAACGGTATAGCAAAAGCGGAGAGTCCTTCATACTCCTGGACTCAAATGGCGTAGAAGTGCATGCCGTCACTGACTGTTTTTCCACGCATTTCTCTTCCGTTGATAAGGCCTCAAACTATAGCACTGATAACAAACAACAGCCCCAGGCAGTTAGCTCATCCAGTGCTTTGTTGCTGGAGGAAATATTATCGGCGAATGCATTAAACGCTTAAAACCATCCTTATCATGTGACCCAGATGGCATCCCATCTGCCATACTAAAAGATTATGGTAGAATATTTGTCCCTGTACTGACTACGATATTTAATAACTGCCTGGAAACTTCCACATTTCCTAGCATGTGGAAAACTGCTCGTGTTTTCCCAGTATTTAGGTCGGGCTCTAAAACAGATGTTTCAAATTATGGCCCGATTTCTCTACTATGTGCCACATCAAAGATTTTCGAGCTGGCTCTTCACAACATAGTGTCCTTTGGTGTGAAAAACTCATCGATTCCAAATCAACATGATTTTCTTGCTGGTCGCTCAACTACCACAAATCTTGCTAGTTTCATGACGCAGATCTCCACACCTTTTTCTCAGAGAGGACAAGTTGACGTAATCTACTGTGACCTGAGCAAGGCTTTTGACGTAGTCAGCCACTCACTGATTATGGTTAAACTTGTGCAGTTTGATGTTGACTTGTCGGTTCTGAATCTCCTGCACAGCTATCTGCTCAATAGACCTTATTATGTTGCCTTAAATGGCCAAACCTCTTCTTTGTATAAAGTGACTAGCGGGGTCCCTCAGGAATCGAAATTAGGCCCACTCCTATTTTTAACTTACGTTAATCATGTTTCTTTTTCCATTCGCAATTGTTCTTTCCTCTTGTATGCTCATGATATCAAGATATATAAAAAAATTCGTTCAGTTAACGACTGTCGCTTGCTACAGTCATATTTGTGTTCTTTTTCCAAATGGTGAAACTGCAATAACCTTTCTCTCAATACCTCAAAGACAAAATTCATGTCTATCACTCGCAAAACATCTAGCATGTCATTGAAGTACTCTGTCAATTTTGTGTCGTTATGCAAGGTTTATGAGATCAGTGATCTTGGTGGTGTTGTTGATAGCGCGTTAACCCTCTCTGCTCACGTTAAGCGTGCTGCTATGCGGGGCCTTCGTACTCTCGCATGTGTTTGCAGAATATCTCGAGAATTCAGTTCTCCTATAGCTCTCCACAAATTGTACACCTGCAAGTATGTATTCCACAACTTCAGTATACGTCCGTGATATGGAATGGCATTGCTCGTTCCATAGGTAACACCAATGAACGAGTCCAGAAAAAATTCCTCAGCATATATAACCATCAGTTTGCTAGAAATCACTCTGGATCTAGTTCAAATACTGCTGGATTATTATCATTGCCATCACTGCACTGCCGATAAAATTATTTTGACCTGTTATTTCTTTACAAACTAGTCCATGGTATCATATTCTGCCCTGTACTTCTCAATTGTGTTAACTTTCGAATTCCACGTAAGTTAACAAGAAAGAATAGACCATTTCATGTACCCGCCTGCTTCTTCCAACACTCTACCGTTCACAGGATACAAAGTCTCTATAATGTTAATTTTCTTGATCTAGACGCCACTTTTGTGTTCATTTCTCTATGTCTATGTGTTTTTATTCTTGATATTTCTGATGACTGTCTGCATTGCATTGTTTGTTTTTACAGTTTTATTTTTGCGTGCGCCTGCACAAAGACCTTGCGGTTGTTCCTGGGCATGTTAAATAAATGTTGATTATTATTATTATTATTATGAACGCAACAGACACATACATACACACATCATTAGTAGGGTGACTTACGTTCGCTCGTGAACTGTGTAAAGCCATCATTAGCGGGAGAATCTGCAGGTTCTTCGGGCTCGTCTTCAGGAAACACTGAAGAAAGAGAGAGCGGAAAGAGAGATACGGTATTACGGTGGGCCACTTAGACATGAATGCGTGGAAGGTCTCAAGGTGTTTTCTGTAAGAGACTACTGCTGAATAACACAATACGTGCATTAAAGCCAGCCTTTTTTATTCGTGTAGCCCCCCTCGACTGCACAGTGGTCGCCTGGTCAGTGAAGCCATGGGCTGTGTTTGCTTTTATTGCTACCGCACATGCACCAGACAACAGCGCCGATAATCCAGGTGGTCGCGATCACACGATAACCTCACGTGTACACGTGTAATGTTTTGAAAACAATGCTTGGGCTGGGTACTCAATGTCTGCATGTTCCCTATAGGCTGCCTACTAATGGAAATTTAGGTTGGAGACAGCAAGCTGTCATTGAAAGTTTTCATTACGATAAAGCACAATTTCGAATAAAAAATAAATACATAAATTCCTTTGTTAAGCGTTTTACTGCAGCAAGTACTCAGAGATCGATGGGCATCCGTTTTTTAATCAGTCAAAATCACGCGGTTAGAATGTTTCTATCTTTTTAGGTAACTTACGCTCATCTTGTCTCTCGAACGAATATCCAACTGCGCTGTGACTTTCCGGCTCTTCTTGAAATCCATTTTCACCTGCAAAAGTTGAACACATGTGAGCCAATGTGCAACTTTGCCTACGATCCCTGTTCTAGAGCTGCCTAATACCGTATTTACTCGATTCTACCGCGCCCTCGATTGTAACGCGCACCCGATTTCCACCGCGAAAAAAAAAAAAAAAAAACGTAAGACATCGATTGCAACGCGCACCCCATTTTTTTTTCGCTGGCCCGCACGATCACACCACTCGAAAAAACGATTCCCTTTCGGGATTGTCTTCCATCTAAATATGAGGTACGGGCGAAGCTTGTGCCATCTGACGTGTAACAGAGCATTGCCGTCACTGTAGTTTTACCGTGGCCGATGTCAGCACGCGAACTTGCTTCGCCCCCTTCTTCTCGAACAGTTGTGGTGCCAGGCATGTCGAAGTAAAGAGGCGTCTGATCGGCATTCCAGATTGCCCAAGCAGGTAGCCGTTTGTTGCGCCGCAAGTTTAGGACGAACCTTTGAAAACTGTAAAGCTTTTCATCGTACTTCTCCGCAAAAGTTTTCGCATATGCATGTTCCCTTCGAAGGGAAGAGCCTTTCCTCTTCATATAGTTAATTAGCCAGCACCTGCTCGCTTTAAACTGGCTCCGCATTAGACTTTTTTCTAAGACTAATTGCATAGCCCGCACTTGGAGCAGTTCTGTCGTCACGGGCCGCTGTGCCGCTCGCTCCTCAAGCACATACTCGCGGAGCAGCTCTTTAATTTGCGGAAACCGACCCTGCTGTGGTTCACTGAAGCCTTTGCGTGAAGCTTTGCTGTCGACAATCTTCTGCTTTTGTTTCCGCCGGTCCCGCACGCACGTTTTGGGAACGACCGCGATGCGGCCCGACTTCCGTCCGTTTTCTGCACACGCGATGACTTTTCTTTTAAAAGCGGCATCGTGGTGCACTTGAGTTTTTGGAGTCGGCCCTTCAAAGTCGTCGATGCTATGCACTACTAGATGACGAACTCCTCAGCACACGTACGAAGTGCCGCACATGGTAAACACATAGGCAGAAATAGCCGACGCACCATGCCGACGCACGTAGGGGCGGCCATTTTGGATTTGCGATGGCAATAGATTGACCGTAATTTTTTGTTCGTACTCGATTCTAACGCGCATGCGATTTATGAACTCGCTTAACCGGAAAAAAGGTGCGCGTTAGATTCGAGTAATTACGATAATGTGAATTGAAGCTCATGACAGCAAACTGTCATGTTGCATTTTCATTGTTATAAAGCACAATTTGGAATCAATCAATCAATCAATAAATATAAATAAAATAAATAAATGCACTATAGCTGAGCGTTCTATACTGCTGCATGCACTCAGAAGTTTATGGGCACCCGTTTCTTAATCAGAGATAAAATCGTGCGTTTAAAACGTTTCAATTTTTCGGGATAACTTACGTTCGTCAGGTCTTTCGATTGCAAACTCGACTGTGCCATAATTTTCCAGTTCTTCAGGAGGCACATTTTCACCTGTAAACGCCGAACAAATGTGAACAATTAATTTAAAAGTATGCGTAACATTGCAATGACACTGTGAATGCCCGAAAAACAAAAGCTATGGGGCATATTGACGCATCTAAACACAAGTTGATTACTTTTGCATGGAATACGTAGAACTGCTTTTGCGTGCTTCCTAATTACCGGATTTGGTAGGTTTATTTAAATAACTTTTGAAGCAGCAAACCTCTGCAAAAAAATAAATAAGAAGATTCCAGTGAGGAAGCTGTAGATTAGTTTGAGGAATGTCCGATTAGACAGTTTCAGTATGTTTTCGTTAGCCTAAGTGAGTCAGGCTTACATTATAACTTCGCGAGCACCAGCGCTTCATATCAGCTTACCAAGTTCTGGTGTTGCTATCTATGTTGCCGTAGGCATCGTTACGTATGCCTGTGTCTACAGTTGTACATATATTTAGCGCCACTTCATGACGTTTCGCTCAATGAAAAAAAAATTACAACACAGTCACCTTCCATACGCATGATTCTTATAACATCAATTTACAAGGTACGTGGGATTAGCCCGTCTTTTTTTTTTTTTCATAAGCGAGGCTGAGTGAGCTCCACAAATTTTGCCGACTCATGCTCGTGAAAATTTGGAAATTGCATCATTATGTGAGCCTAGTATTATGCTGCAATACAATGTAGTCACGTAATAGCCTCATTCGTCTTACTTAAAATGCCAGAGCAGCGTTCATACGTTGGGTCACTTACGTTCGCCCGCCAACGCATAGCCACTGGCTTGCATATTTTCGGGTGTTGCTGGTTCTGCAGCTGCAAAAGTAAGGCAAAATAGTAAGAACACTCGTTCATAAATATTTAACTACGCGGTAACTTACGTTCGGGGTTGTAGTTTTCGGCTGACACGGACGGCGTTTGTTGCAGCGCGTTTATTTCTGCCTGCACCGCCTGCATGAAGGGTTACTTTGGTGAGACCTCAAAAACAGATACAAGTAACTGTTTAAGGTCGCATGAGCCTTACCTTCTTGTTGTCAACCTCCTCGACTGCCTCGACGCATTCATTGTGGTCAGCTTGGGACGACGATTCCATGTTAATTTTGCAACAAAACTTGCGAAAAGCTCTTCGCCGAAACTGCTGATACCTCGACTGACGCTGGTATGGAGAACGTCCTTCCGCGCGCAGAGGCTGGTGACTTCTGGAACGAAAAGTACTCAGCTCTTCGCTTTTTTTCCCTCTTTCTTTTAAAAATTTGAAATAGTTCGCCCCGCTTCACAAAAATACAAATTTCGCGGCAATGAGCGCCTGCGGACCCGAGCGAAGTTTTCTCGGAAGCGACACAGTTAGCGTCGTTCGTGGCATGGCCTTCGAGATTCAGGCCACACAGCCATCACAGAAGTCATTTTGTGCATACAGACAGTATGTGCCGTCGCTTCCGCGAGGTGGCGACACGCGCGCTGCTGTCGTCACCTCAATAAGTTTCTCTTCATTTATTTGTGTTTGTGGAACCATTATTATTTTTTCTCTCCTAATCAATAATTAGCGTTGCGAGTAATGTAGGTGTGGGACACGGGCAACGTTGTAGTGACGTTGACCACGTGAACGGGCTAAGCGGCTGTTTTGAGGAAGGTCGGGGCGCCCGGTTAGTTGTTAAAGAGCTAGAGCCGAACACGAAGGGGACCTAGTGGGAGGCTACTAGCGAAATTGAACACGTTGTGTGCGGTGTAGGCGGCAGCTTCAAACAGTTGTTGAGGTAGGAGAGTTAACGGAGGCGGCTGGATAGCGGGATTGGGGTTGAACGTGCAGGCCTGTTGGGCACTCAGTCCGATGTTCGGGCGGGCGATGGCTAAGGAGGCTAGGAAAACCACGAGCGAGAGTGAGCTGGTGCAGTGCGAAGAATGCAAGTGCTGGTGCTACTTAGATGAGACAGCATTCACTAGTTTGGCCGACGCGCAGAAGGCGAGCATTGTGTGCAGGCTGTGCGAGGCACTGAAGGCGGCCGTGCAGCGCATGGAGGCTAGCATCAAGGGGCTTCAGGGGGAGCTTAGAACGGAACGGGAGCAGAGGATAGAACTCCAAAAAGAGCTCGGAGCGTCGCGTGAGCGGGAGGAGGCTACCGCCAGCCTATTAGAGCAAATGAAGGGCGACCTTCGAAAAGAACGGGAAGGGCGGACCGAGCTAGATCAGCAAGTAAAGGAGCCAATGGCGCTTTGCACCGGCCCCGAGCAATGTGAGACGGAAGGCGTGGGTAGCGGATAAGGCGACAGGCGGGAAAGAACAGACGAGAAGGGTGGTCAGGGAGCCGCAGTGTCTGGCCACAGCATGGAGGCTTCGAGAACATACAGCTCGGTGGCGCAGCAGTTTTCAAGCAGGGCAGAAACATAGGAAAGACGGCAGAGAGAGAAACAGGTGAAGCAAACAGGGGCGCCATCACAAACAGAAAGCCAGCGATTGGAGCATAGAAGGTTCCTAGTGGTGGGGGACTCTAACGTGGCCAGGGTTAGGGATGGCGTCTTCAAGACAGTGAAGGAAGATGGGAGAGTCAGGGTGGAGGCACAGTCAGGGAAGAGCATGGTGGATGCACTGGTCAAAGCTCAGGAGGTTGTAGAAAACAGCATAGAGGGCGAAAATCTAGTCATTATTCATGCTGGGCTCAATGATGTGTTGAAGGGCAAGGATCAGAACCTTCAAAGAAAGTTAGAGGATGGGATGCGTGAGCTCCGAGAAACATCTGGAAGTGTGCATGTGACCATATGCACAGTCCCATAGGTCTGGGGGCAGCCTTGTGGGATTGAAAGTAGGGTAGTGGAGGCCAATTGTGTGATCAAGGGTTTGAGCCGGCAACTCGGATACAGCGTTATGGAAGTTAACCAAGACGTGTGCGAGCCCGCCGCTCGCCCCTTTGCACAAGATGGCATTCACTACAGTGGAGCGACGGGCAGGAAGGCGGTAACAGAATGGGTCGCCAAGCCACAGCTTTTTTATGGGGACCCAGAGCCCTGAAGCCAACAGTGTAGCCAAAGATGGACCTAAAGGGGCACAAATATTCAAGCCATACAAAGTCCGTGGGAGAAGAAATCGACGTAAGCACAAGGGCCGAGCTAAGTCAGACGTAGGCTATATTAACATGCAGGGTGGCAGGAATAGGTTAAAGTGGGAAGAGATAGAAGAACAGTCGAGGCAGGAGGAGCTGATGGTATATGGGGTTGTGGAGACACATCTTCGGGACATGGAGCAACCACCCTGAAATCCGGACTACGTATGGGAATATTGCAACAGAACAGAAGGCAGCAAAAAGGGGGGCGGAAGTGGTGCATTTATACTTAAGAGCGTGGGTTGGCAAGGAGTCAAGATGGGATGCATGGAACATTTATGGTTAAGAGGGAGAGTAGCTGGGCAGATGACACTCCTTGGTTTGGTGTACTTGTGGACGGGAGCAAAGGCCAGAGAGGAAAACCAGGCAATGGTGGAGTGTATATCAAAGGACATTGAGGAATTAGGAGGAGAGTGCGAGATAATTATACTAAGAGATATGAATGCGCCATAGAAGATATAGATAGGTATACTGACTCTACAGGCAAAAATGATCATGGATATGTGTGAAAGGCATGATTTGATCATTTGCAACAGTACCGAGAAGTGTGAAGGGCAAATAACATGGGAGGTAGCAAGGCTGCAGTCAACAATAGATTACGCACTGATGTCACATAGGATGTATGATAAGCTCAGGGAAATGCACATAGATGAAGGTGGCTCCAGAAGTCTGGGTAGTGATCACAAACGTATCAAGCTTAGTTTTGGAAGAGCAGTGCAAGTGGGATGGGAAGGAGACAAGATGAGCAACTACAGGAAAATTTTCATTCAGAAAGGCAAATATAAATTGCTACTAAACAAATTGCGAAAGTAGTCACTGAGGATAATAAAACTATGTGGACGTACACAAATCTAATTAGACTGTTTGGGCTAGAGCTTGCTAAGGCACGTGAGAAGTCACCATGGAAAAGAAGACACAAACCCAAAAGTTGGTGGGATGAAGAAGTTAGGAGAGCCATAGCAAAACGTCAGGAAGCCTCTAGGGAACACAGACATGCTAAGCAACGGGGTGAACCGACAGGTGATGCTGAAAGAAAATGGGAAATTTTTCTAAGCTCTAGAAGGGAACCATCCCTCCTGATCAATGAAAAGATTAGAAGAAAGGGTGCACAGTGGCTGGCAGAAGTACATAAAAAAGACAGAAAGGTAGCTGCGAAATTTCGGAACCATCTAAACTCCCTAAGAAATGAAACGAATATAGAGCAGAGGTTTATAACTACAGCTCAAGGTGCTAGGCTAGAAGGGGACGAAGCTATTTAATATATAAGAACAACGGTGACACAAAAATTTCAACAAAGAAGTGCCTTATGCACCACAGTAGACATGGATGGATCAAGTGGCACAATGGCTCCATTTTCACAACGAGAGTGGGAAAGGGCTGAGAAGAGGGTTCCAAGTAGTACATCAACAGGCCCACATGGCATTCCAATTATGCTGATAAAGACATTGTGTCCGAAGGCGAAACAGACTTTGAAAGAGGCGGTGAGCAGAACTATAATCGATGGTGAAGTCCCTGATGGATGGAAATTTGGCAGGATGAGCATGATTTATAAAGGAAAGGGGACAAAGATGACATAAACAACTACCGTCCTATAACAGTGACATCAGTGGTTTACAGGCTGGCGATGCAGATTATAAAAAAAAGACTGCAGGCAGGGATAGAGGATGAGGGGGTGCTGGGGGAACTGCAGAATGGGTTTCGGAAACACAGAAGGTTGGAAGACAATCTGTTCTCACTGACGCAGTGCATCGAAATAGCGGAAAAGGAACACAGGCCCCTGTGGCTAGCATTTTTGGATACCAAGGGAGCGTACGATAGCGTGGTTCAAGAGGAATTGTAGGGAATACTGGACACACTAGGCGTGAAACTTGTAGTCACTAATCTTGTAAAGGATATTTATAAACGTAACAAGGTAGTTATAAGGTGGGAAAAACAGGTATCCAAGCCTGCAGAGATAAAACGGGGGCTTAGGCAGAGGTTTCCCCTGTCACCCTTGCTCTTCATGATGTACCTACAAGGATTAGAGGCCAAATTAGAGGGAAGTGGACTGGGCTTCAACGTCTCTCTAGTCAAACAAGGAAAACTCATTGATCAGGCACTACCAGCATTAATGTACGCAGATGATATAGTGCTCATGGCCAACAACAAGGAAGATTTGCAGAGATTGATGGACATCTGCGGTAATGAAGGAGATAGGTTAGATTTCAGATTCAATAAGGAAAAATCAGCAGTCATGATTTTTAATGATAATGAAGGTAGTCAGCTTAGAATACAGGAAGTCACTCCAGACATCACAGATAAATACAAATATCTGGGCTTATGGATAAGCAATGGAACCGAGTACCTAAGGAAACACGAAATATACGTGACGACTAAAGGTAACAGGAATGCAGCAGTGATGAAAAATAGGGCACTGTGGAATTACAATAGGTAGTATGTTGTGAGAGGAATATGGAAAGGGGTCATGGTTCCTGGGCTGACGTTCGGAAATGCGGTCTTGTGCATGAGATCAGAAGTTCAAGCAAGATTAGAAATTAAGCAACGTGGAATAGGTAGGCTTGCTTTAGGAGCTCACGGGAATACACCAAATCAGGGAGTACAAGGTGATATGGGATGGACATCATTTGAGGGCAGGGAAGCTAGCATCAAGATAAAATTTGAGAAGCGATTGAGAGAAATGAAGGAGGAGCGTTGGGCTAGGAAGGTTTTCAGCTACTTGTACATGAAGAATGTCGATACAAAATGGAGGAAGCGAACCAGGAAGTTGACAGGTAAATACTTAGAAAACAGCAGGTGGCCAAACCAAAAAGAACTATCGGTTAAGAAGAAAGTGATGGAAACGGAGACTGACATGTGGAAAATGGGCATGATTAAGAAGTCCGCACTAGAGATCTATCGAACTTTTAAGCAGGAAATTGCCAAGAAAAGGATCTATGATAATACTCGGGGTAGTTCTCTACTGTTTGAGGCCAGGACGAGAATATTGCGAACCAAGACATATCGGGTCAAATACGAAGGGGTAGACACATCATGCAGTGCGTGTGGAGAGG